GTTCCACCTACCTATTTTAGAAACAGATGATATTATAGTCATAAAATCTCATGGAATCAGATGTTGTAACTTGATTATATATGTGTAGACATTCTAAGAGAGCTTTCAATCCCAGGATTATAATGTTACGATAATTTAGTTACCCATATGTATATAAACATTTCTAGGAGCAATTTTAGAAATATAATACCTCAATTTAACAAGGTATAAATTTAACAAGGTATAAATTTGATTTTTGGCTAGCTTTCACTACTTCTTAAGATAGAACTTGAACATTGGGGCAGATCCCAAAGCAAATACTTTAACTACAATAGTTATGCACAAGAAAGTCCTGTAAATAATCTATCCGTGACAAGCTACAAAGTCAATATTCAAATGTCCCAAATCTTAGACTCCTTTATTTAAAAGAGCTAACCAACAAAGAATTTACTAAGCCCCCCATTCTTTTTTTTTTTTTTTTTTGAGACCGTCTTGCTCTGTTGCCCAGGCTGGAGTGCAGTGGTGCAATGGCACAATCTCGGCTCACTTCCGCCTCCTGGGTTCAAGCGATTCTCTTGTCTCAGCCTCCTAGTAGCTGGGATTATAGGCATCCTCTACCATACTCGGCTAATTTTTTGTATTTTTAGTAGAAGTAGAGTTTCACCATGTTGGCCAGGCCAGTCTCGAACTCTTGACCTCAAGTGATCCACTGGCCTCAGCCTCCCAAAGTGCTGGAATTACAGGCGCAATTCACCATGCCCGGCCTAAGCCCACCATTCTTTTCAGCTCTTTGTACCTATAGATAAAGTTCTTGCTACTCTCTTCTGTGGTCTATAATTTGTGAAAAACTAATTATGATGCAATTTCAACAAATGTATTTGTTCAGTTGTATTTGATTTTCTAATTCATGTTGCATGAGTAATAGATGCACTGATGAAGTTAGCACATTTTAACAGTTTTCCTTTCAGAATGTGTTGGCTGTTATTTTAATTGTATTACAGTCCATTCACAAACGGTACAACCACAAATTATACAATAAACCTAAAATTTTATAATTCTGTTTTTGTATTTGGAACAGTCTAGTTCAACTGTATTTAAAGGGAAAGTTAATTTATTCAAAGCATATTTTTAAGACCTTTTCATTTTGGTTAAAAATGGTGACATACAGCTGGGTGTGGTGGCTCATGCCTATAATCCCAGCACTTTGGGAGGCTGAGGTGGGCAGATCGCGAAATCAGGAGTTCAAGACCAGCCTGGCCAACATGGTGAAACCCCATCTCTACTAAAAAATACAAAAAAAAAAAAAAAAAATTAAAAAAAAATTAACTGGGCATGGTGGCAGGTGCCTGTAATCCTAGCTACTCAGGAGGCTGAGGCAGGAGAATCGCTTGAAACCAGAAGGCAGAGGTTGCAGTGAGCTGAGATCGCACCATTGCACTCTAGCTTGGGCAACAAGAGTGAAATTCCATATCAAAAAAAAAAAAAAAAAAAAAAGACATACCAAACCATTTTAGATCCTAAAGGATTCCTAATCTGGCATTATAGACCAAATGTGGTACATTCAGTCCAAAACTTGTGTTCTAAGATGGAGCAGAAAACAAACATAGTAAGAGAAATGTTTTTTGCTGTAACCAAATACACGTAGGTAATTTTAAAAGTCTTTTGAGGGGAGGAGTCAATAATTGATTTTGTTGGTAGTGGAGAGAATGGGTGGACTAAATAATATTTTAAAATATATAGTGGTTTTCAGGCTGGCACGGTGGCATACTCCTATAATCCCAGCACTTTGAGAAGCTGAGACGGGAGGATCACTTGAAGCCGGGAGTTTAAGACCAGTCTGGGCAACATAGTGAGACCCTGTCTTGACCAAAAAAAAAAAAAAATAGCCTGGTGTGGTGGCATGTATCTGTTGTCTAACTGCTTAGGAGTTTGGGGTGGAAGGATCACTTGAGCCTGAGAGTTCGAAGTTGCAGTGAACTGTGATCATGCCAGTACACTCCCGCCTAAGTGATAGAGTGAGACTCTCTCTCAAAAAATAAAATATAATGGTTTTCTAGTAGGAAAATATACTTACATAGTTTTCCCTTATCCAGTCCTCATGATAGCATTGTGAGGGAGGTATTACTTTATTTGACACTTGAGAAAACCAAATTGGACTGATTGACTTTACCATTTCACTCCTAGTAAGTAACTGCTGGAAATCAAACTCAGAACTTTGGAATTAAACATCAAGCTCTTTCTATTAAACCAGATTTTTGTTTTCTATAAGTTTCAGTTTAAAAGAAGAAAAGAACATTACTTGTTTTCTATAACTGTGTGATACATATTCTGTGCTTACAGATAATAAGCAATTCATTTTAAAATGTCATAACTTCAGAATATAATTAACAATGGGACTTGACCTTTCAGATACATTACAGTGTGCTTGGATTTTCAAAAATTTTATTTCCATGCAGCTTGTCAATGATTTATTATTATTATTATTATTATTATTATTATTTTTTAAGGCAGGGTCTCACTTTGTTACCCAGGCTGAAGTGCAGTGGTGCAATCTTAGCTTACTGCAGCCTCTGTCTACCTCCTGGGTTCAAGTGATCTACCTGCCAAGTAGATGAGACTACAGGCGCACGCTACCACTTCCAGCTAATTTTTTGTATTTTTTGCAGAGGCAGTGTTTCGCCATGTTGCCCAGATTTGTCTCAAACTCCTGGGCTCAAGAAATCCTCCCACTTCAACCTCCTAAAGTGCTGGCATTCCAGGTGTGAACCACCACGCCTAGCCAAAGATAAGGTTTTATATAACTTTCTCTTGCATAACTTTGAAGGAGCAGTGTAGTGTAGTGCAAAGTTATCCAACTTTAAAGGACACAAGAATTACCTAGGAGATTAATAGCTTTTTAGGGCCCAGGAAACCCTCTAGATACTTCTGGTAGAGGTAGTCCAGGGACAATACTTGGGGAAAACACTGGCTTTGAGGTTTTACACAGATAAAAAAACACCTACTTCATAAATTAGTGATGGTGATTTAATCTATGGTATCTCTACAGTTCTTGGAATAGAACCAGGTACATAGGAAATGTTCAAAATATTCCATTCTTGTGTGATGACTTGGGTGGCAACTAAGAATCAAGAGAATATTCCTTCTTTTCATTCAACAAAATTTATTGAATTCCAGCAGTATTCTAGGGACTTGTGGATATAGGGGAAAATGGACACATTCCTCATTCTTGTTGAATTTATTTGATCAACTCATTTTAAAGGTATAGTTCTTACCTTGTTAAAAAATAATAAAAGGACTATTGAGGGCATGTTTGCATAATCTTTTCCCTTGCAAATTAAAGTTTTGTTTTTTACTTGAATGAGGATTGCAGTTCAAAGAAATGGCCTATTATTTCTCAGTTTTCTTGTTGCTTTAAATCTATACTGTCCAATACAGTAGCCACTAGATACTTGCAACTATTTAAGTCAATTAAACTTGTATAATATTAAAAATACAGCTCCTCAGTGGCACTACCACATTTCAATTGCTCAGTAGCCACATGTGGCTAGTGGCTGCTTTATTGGACAGTGAGATGTAGATCATTTCCATCATCATACTAAGTTCTGTTGGGACAGTGTTATTCTGGAGTTTACAACTACAAAGTGGTGATTTTCCAATTGTCTTGATTTGTAGATTGATTTTGAGGCAAGTATTAGCAGTGGCTTGAGGCTGTCACGTAAGTGTATTAATTCCCTTTCAGGTTGACCAGGCCCAGGGCTAGTATTGATTTACCTTAACAGTTTCATTACACAGCCAGTGAGATATAAATGCTAAGACATCTGGGCATTTTCTTTAAACTTCTGAGTAATACACTAAGGTTATTTTACTGCATTAGTCATAGCTTTTCTCGTGCTGTGTGTGTGTGTGTGTGTGTGTGTGTAGAGAGAGTTAATTCACCTCCACAGCATTATAATTGTTTCAAATGTATATCTAATGAAATTTTGAGGACAAAGGGGTAAAGAAGAGTTGCAGTTGCATCTGAATACTAGAACTGAATACTGGAATTCATGGTACTTACCATGAATTTAAAAAAGAAAATAAAATAATTTCTTTTATAGAAACCAGAACTAAGAGTAGTGAAAAGTTGGTTTAACACTGTTTACTCAGCATTCCACTGGGTAGAACCCCAGTTATGATTATTTAAAAATATTAATTATGAGACTGAGTGCAGTGGCTGGCTCATGCCTATATTCCTAGCACTTTGGGAGGCCGAGGTGGGCAGATCAGCTGATATCAGGAGTTTGAGACCAGCCTGACCAACATGGTAAACCCTGTCTCTACTAAAAATACAAAAAATTAGCTGGGTGTGGTGGTGCATGCTATAATCTTGGCTGCTATGGAGGCTGAGGCAGGAGAATGACTTGAACGTGGGAGACGGAGGTTGCAGTGAGCTGAGATTGCGCCACTGCACTGTAGCCTGGGCAACAGAGTGAGACTCTATCTCAAATATATGTATATAGATACATATGTGTATATATATGTATATATGATATATATGCATATATGATAAATATACATATATACATATATGATAAACACATGCATATATATACGTATATGTGACAAATACATGTATATATACGTATATATACATATATATGACAAATTTAATGTTTTAGTAATTGAAAAACCAAGGATAAATTCTTCTGTATTTTTGTTGTTTTTAAAACCTGCATATAAAATTGAGTAGCACCCACTACATTCCAGTGTCTAGGTCATGAATGCAGTTTTTTGGGGCAGAGTTCAGTAAATGATATGCAAGTGCAATTGGGTTTTTGCCTCTGTTTCCTGAATATGAGTAGCTAGTTACAGATAGGTCTTACCTCCTTTTTTTCCTTCAGTTTTTGCTGCTGTTCCTCTCTGAGAAGAAAGGCAATAAGAGACTGCTGTCATTTGGTCACGGGTCAGGGATTAGTGCGGCTGAAGTCATTGAAATCCTTTTGTATGTTATTGCCTCCTTCAGTGACCTTCTGTCTTTCCAGGTCACTTACTTCAGCCTTTGGTACTACAACAAGCAAAATCAGCGCCGGTGGGTAGATTTGGAAAAACCTTTGAAGAAGCAGCTGGATAAATATGCATTGGAACCGACCGTCTATTTTGGAGTGGTGTTTTATGTGCCTTCAGTTTCTCAGCTGCAGCAGGAGATTACCAGGTGAGAAATTACATGCCATTTGTTTTTAGGAAATAGTCTAGTGAGATGTAAAAAGTGAAACTAAGGTTGAAGTCAGAAGATAAGTTTGGAACTTTGCCTCTCGCCCCACATTTTTAGCTACGGTATTACAAAGAGGTTCTCATATGTGGCATGTCAGAGTGTTTTACTACATGTTGGGTAACTTATGGGTTCAGTAGGCACAAAGGAATAATTAAAGGGAAAAATGATGGATTTACCCTAGCTGTGCACTCTTCCTTTAATGTTTGTGTTGTTTCTGATCCTTTGTGATTAGGAAAGGAGAGAAGATATTTTAGAAAATTAGTCACAAAATCTGTGTTCATTCCTCAATGAAATGTGCTGAAAAAGGCTCCTAGAATTCTCTTCCTCTAGCTATATTCTGTAGACAGGTTGGGGAGGGAGTACAGAGGAGAGGGAGGGAAGTGTTTAAGATCAGGAAATTTTGGCTGATAAGTGCACTTAATAGGGACAAAAGCAGAAAGGGAAGATGATATTAAGGAGCAGAATAGAGGAACTAAGTGTTCTTATTCTTTTTCCCCCTGAAGACAACGAAAAAAGGAATAAAATTTGAGTTCTTGAGCGTGGTTTTCAAAGTTCTGTGAATCCCATCACTGCCTTATCTTTTTAACCCTATTTAATGTTACTTTTGAGCCAAGCAGAGCTACTTCAAGGGCCCGAAACATACCGCATGCCCTTTCGTCTTTGTGTCCTAGATCTTTCTCTCACATGTATTTACTGGAATCCTGTTTGCCTCCTGAGTTGTGGTTCAGAAGGTACCTCCTCCATGAAGCATCTATAACCCCAGGACAGAATGAGTTTTGGCTTACGACCTAGAATTTGATTCTACTTGTGTTAAGATGGTAATTGTCATACCCTATTATTAGGATTTTGCAGGTATCTTTTTCCTAGGTTTTAAGCCTATGTTTTCTTTAGCTTTACTTAATGATATCTTACACAGTACCTTGCGGACAGTGAGAACCTGGTACTGTCTCGTGTTTGTGGAGTGCTGTTTGAGTCTGCCAGTTAATGATTAGGAGAGAATGGAAAGTCAAAGCAGTAAGGATCCAGTGGTAGGAATAAACACAAACTGACTGTAAAAGTCTGAGATAGAAATAATGAAGAGAAAATGGAAACCAGAAGGAAAAAGCCTGAACTGATCACTTTAACTCATTTAAACATTTACTGAAGATACGCTCTTAAGAACTGTGTTGAATAGAGTGGGAGGTGAATATGCTTTAATCCCACCCTGGAGGAGCCGTTCACAGTCTGGTGGAATTGGCAGTTCATATAAATAGTTACAGTATCCTATGATAATAAATGCTTTAATTAAAGCTGTGGATTCCTAGGGGTGGGGCAAGGGGAACTTGAACAGGAAAGGTAGAGAGACTGACATTTAAATTGACTTTAGAAATGTTCTAGAGGGAATAGTTTTTGCAAAGCAGGGGAAGTAATCAAAATGATTACATGTCTTCAGGAAGTTTCAGGTATTACTTAGAAAGGAGATTTAAAAAATAGGCATAGCAATAAAGTCATGGTACAATGAGGAAGAGATTTTCAAATTTAATGGAATCATTAAATTTATATTTTACAAAGATCACCCATCATAGAAGGTAGATCAGAGATGGCAAGACTATAGGCAGGAGACCAGTTTAGGAATACCTGTACCATAATCTAGGCGTAGGTTTACAATATAGAACTGAACAGAAAGGCATTAGCTGTATTGAGAGAGAATGGGCCTATTAGAGTCAATCAGTAGGATTGCTCATTGATTAGGTATAGGAGCGTCTGATAGAGAAATTGTATCAGTAAGGATTAAGTATAGCTATATATAACAAAAACCCTAAATATCATTGGCTTCTGTGAGACAAGTTCAGAAGTCAGCCCTGCAGAACTTGTCTGACAGCTCCACAGAGTCTTCGCAGACGCTTGCTCTTTCTCTTAGTGCTCCAGTATCCTCAGTGTGTCCTTCCCATGCACTAGGTTTACCTTTTGGTCCAAGATATCCAGAGTTCTGTCTATCACATCCATAGTCAGAAAGCAGATGAGTGGTTTCCTAGGAACAGGGTAGGAATTGGAGAGACAGATTATGAGGGGTGCAAGGAAACTTTTGCAGGTGGTATGTTCCTCATCTTGTAGTGATGGTTTCATGGATGTATGTATGTGTCCAAATTGTCAACTTGAAATCTGAACAGCTTCTTTGTATGCCAATTATACCTCAAAAACGGTGTTTTAAAAAACCCACTCAAAGATATTGTAAGAAAACAAAGTGGGAGGGCCGGGTGTGGTGGCTTACACCTGTAATGCCAGCACTTTGGGAGGCTGACGGGGGGCAGATCATCTGAGGTCGGGAGTTCGAGATCAGCCTGCTCAACATGGAGAAACCCTGTCTCTACTAAAAATACAAAATTAGTCAGGTGTGGTGGCACACGCCTGTAATCCCAGCTACTCGGGAGGCTGAGGCAGGAGAATTGCTTGAACTCAGGAGGCTGAGGTTGCAGTGAGCCAAGCTGGCACTGCGGCATTCCAGCCTGGGCAACAAGAGTGAAACTCTGTCTCGAAAAAGAAGAAAGAAAACAAAGGGGGAGAACAACAATCTGATTAATATACCTTTAGAAAGTGCAGACTTAACAGAAAAATACGACCACAAAGCAGCAGAAAACTGGCACCTAATACTACAGAATGAACTTTAAAAATTAAGAAAATAACAGATGATATGAAAGAACCATTTAAATCTGAATTAGAAAAGCTTGGGAATAATTTGACTATGTAACAGGTGAATATGAAAATAGCTGCAAAAACAATTAGAAATTTTGAAATGATAGAAACTATAAAAGTATAGAAGATTAAAAAATAGATGTAATAGGATTCCCTAAAGGAAAAAGCCAAAACATTCTTCTAACAATATGATCTAAGTCAAAACATTGGCAAAGAACAAATTCCAAAAACTATATAACAAATTCTATATTCTAGCTATAACACATTTTAAAAACTTCCTTGAAAGGAAAATGACTTCAAGCTCTGTATTGAAAAGACGTACTGTGTACCTGGCATGGTCAGTCCAGAGCAATCAGTGCCAACACATTCTGCAGAGTCACCAGAAATTGGGCATCCAGACTAAAGCTGTTATAAAATTAAGAAAATAAGATTGGTGTCAGACTTCTGGAAAAACACTTCATGCCAACGGACAAAAAAGTAACATTTAACATCCTCAAGGAAAGGAAATAGGAGGCAATGATTATATATCTAGCAAAAACGACCTGTGAATATATCTTAGTGCGAGCTGCCATAACAAAATATTATAGACTGAGTAGCTGATGTATTTTCTCAGTTTGGAAATCTGAGCATAGTTGAGATCTCATGAGGGCTCCCTTCCTGGCTTGCAGAACTTCCGGCTGGGTCCTCACATGGCAGAGCGAACAAACACTCTGGTGCCTGGAGTTCTTACCTGCAAAAGAGGAAATTTTGTTTCAGTCATCAATAATTGTGCCTCATTTGAACCTCACTGGCTACGATACTGCCACTGCACAAAGCTTGGAAATTTTGACCATCATAATTTTGACCAACTAGGCTGGGCACGGTGACTCACGCCTGTAATCCCAGTACTTTGGGAGGCCGAGGTGGGTGGATCACTTGAGGTCAGGAGTTTGAGACCAGCCTAGCCAACATGGTGAAACACCGTCTCTACTAAAAATACAAAAATTAGCCGGGCGTGGTGGTGCATGCCTGTAATCCCAGCTACTCAGGAGGCTGAGGCAGGAGAATCGCTTGAACCTGGGAGGCAGAGGTTGCAGTGAGCTGAGTTTGAGCCACTATACTCTAGCCTGGACGACGGTGAGACCCCATCTCAAACAAAATAAAACAAACAAACAAAAAAAAGAATACAACTGCATGAATTGAAACACATCGAATATATCTTTTAAAATTCACGAATTCATAATACTTAAAAAAAATAACCTCATTGGTCACCTTTGAAACTTACTAGAATACAATACATTATTCTGAATGGCAGTAAGTTTATCCTATCTTTATAGATTGTATAAAGAGGTAACAATCATCAGTATTGGCTAAAACCTTTGGGTAAAAGGAACAGGCTGGCATCATCTGAACTCAGTGGGCAATGTCAGCATCACTGTAAGTGGGACAACCAAATACCATTTCTTCTGATGTGATGCATCCGGAAGTACCAGGCACCACCAGGTTAAATGACTAAAATGAACTTGTATCGAAGCAAGCCTCTAGTCTGCACTGTTCAGTAAGGTAGTTGTTAGCTATATGTGGCTATTTATAGTTAATTAGAATTAATACAATTAAAATTTTTCTTGCACTAGCTACAGTTCAGGTACTGAATAGCCACATGTGGCTAATGGCTACTATATTGGGCAGCGCAGATACAGATAATTTATATCACTGTAGAATGTTCTTTTAGACAGTGTTGCTCTAAATCTAATGATCAGTTTTCAGGAAAAATGTGAGAGCATGTAAACTTGCCAAATGACCCCATGAGACTACAATCACAAAAGTCCAGAAGGTAGGAAATTCTACATGACAAATGACTCCATTTCTGTTAATAACATGAAAATAAAAGAGAATAAAAACTTTCTTTTTTATAGCAAGAGAGATTTAGAAATATCCATTAAATGTAATCCGTAGACCTTGTTTGGATTCTAATTTAAGAAAATTGTAAAAATGCATTTTTGAGGCGATCATGAAAATTGCATATGAATCAGGTATTGAGTACTCAGTATAAAGATGTTCATTTTGTTGGGTGTGATAAAAATGTAGTTGCGTTTTTAAAAAATAAAGCTTACCTTTTAGCGATATGTACTGAAGTACAGGTGGCATGACGTCTGGGATTTGCTGTAAAACACTGGTGGTGGAGGGGGCACAGGAGAGGATGGATGGAGAAAACGTGGTAGGCATAAGGTTGATGGGTGAGGCACCATGATAAGGAGATGGGGTCACTATACTTAATGTCTATACATATATTTCAGAATTTCCAAAATAAAACTTAAAAAATAAAAATGCCGATGCCTACACATTGTCTTCTATTACTAGTCTAAGAAAAACAGATGAAGAGAAAAAGCTGCCTCTTCATACATTATTTGGAATTTCTGTTGTGCAAAATTATTATATAATATAATTTATTATATAATTCTTGTCATATATTGTATGAAATATTTTATATTGGAAAGTTGATCAGTAACTTGATAAAGATTTAGATAAAATATTTGATCAGCATATTTTTACTTTCGGGCAAGTTTATGGAATACTTGCTTTTGAATTAAAATGTGCAATTTCTTTTATTCCTTGGCTGACAGTTTTGAATTCAGGTCTACGTGTTACATTTTATTACTGCTTTGTTTTTTTCCTATTATTTCATTCTTGTTGCTCGGTTGCCAGGCTGGAGTGCAGTGGCGTGATCTTGGCTCACTGCAACGTCCGACTCCCAGGTTCAAGCGATTCTCCTGCCTCAGCCTCTGAAATAGCTGGGATTGCAGGTGCTCACCACCATGCCCAACTAATTTTTGTATTTTTAGTAGAGATGGGGTTTCACCATGTTGGCTACGATGATCTCAATCTCCTGACCTCATGATCCACCCTCCTTGGCCTCCCAAAGTGCTGGGATTACAGGCATGAGCCACCGCACCCGGCGTGCAAAAATATTGAAATAACATATTTATAAGCCATCTTCAGCCCCACCAATATATAGAAATTTTAGCAAAAAGTGATAATGCCATTGAAGTGAAATTTCTTGGCCATCTGCTCCTACAGTAAATACTTCTTTAAGAAAAACATATTATGGCTGGGTGTAGTGGCTCATGCCTGTAATCCAGGCACTTTGGATGGCCGAGGTGGGAGGATCGCTTGAGCTCAGGAGTTTGAGACCAGCCCAGGCGACATAGAGAGACCCTGTTTCTATAAAAAAATTAAAAACAATTTAGCCAGGTGTGGTGGTGTACACCTGTGGTCCCAGCTACTCAGGAGGCTGAGGCTTGAGGATCACTTGAGTCCAGGAGGTTGAGGCTGTAGTGAGCCATGATTATGCCACTGCACTCCAGCCTGGACTATAGAGCAAGAGGCTGTCTCAAAAAAAAAAAACAAACTATCAGTCTGTGTATCCATCCATCCATCCGTCCGTCCATTCATCCATCCCTAGTTGCTTCCATTAAAGGATTTGAGGGATAATACAATAACATATAGTAAAAACCACTTAGGTTTTTTACTGTATATTAAACACTGTCCCAAGTATTTTATTAATTTAATTCTCATAACAAATCCTATGATGTAGTTGCTATTATCTCTATTTTGTAGATGAGGAAACCAAGACACAGAAGGGTTGAACACCTTGCCCAAGGTCACACTGCTAGTATGTACTGGAATTGGGACTCAAGCAGGCTGGCTCCTGAGTCCTTGCTCTCAACCATTGTGTTTTGTGGACTGTCATGTAAAATACTAAATGAATAAAAATACTAGAAACATCTATAACTGTAGATTTGTCGTGGTTAAGAACAAGACCTTTGGGTCATTCAGACCTGGGGATTCAAACTCCATCTCAGTCTAGCTCTATGCATTTGAGCATGTTGCTTAATCTCTGAGCTCCAGCTCTTCATCACTTAAAGGTAGCTATTATTAAATAGTGGAGAAAGCAATTAAGAGGGATAATGATGATTGTGACTATGCCTGGATGTTAGCTGTGAGCTTAATGGCAGCCAAAGCAAAAGAAGAAATCTGAGTTCCATCATTCATTATGTAACACAAAGAAGCATACCTCTTTGCAAGCATGACACATTTTCCTGGTATATCATTTAAACAGAAACTTTCAGGTATAATTTTATGTAAGACATTGAACCAGAAATGAATAAGTTAAAGCAAATATGGAAGAATCAATTCTCATAACAGTACAATGTAAGGCTGTGGAAGGCTACATTAATTGGGTTCAAGTATATTGCTTTTCATGTTTTTTGTTTTTTGTTTTGAGACGGAGTCTCTCTGTGATGCCCAGGCTGGAGTGCAATGGCGCCATCTCAGCTCACTGCAACCTCCGCTTCCTGGATTCAAGTGATTCTCCTCCCTCAGCCTCCCAAGTAGCTGGGACTACAGGCGTGTGCCACCACACCTGGCTAATTTTTGTATTTTTACTAGAGATAGGGTTTCACCATGCTGGCCAGCCTCGTCTCCAACTCCTGACCTCAAGTGATCCGCCCGCCTTGGCCTCCCAAAGTGCTGGGATTATAGGTGTGAGCCGCCTCACCTGGCCCTTTCTAGTGTTTTTGATTTAAGGAAAAGGCCTAGAATATTTAGAATGGAATCTGTGAATAGCATGTTCAATAGACAGACTTCCCTAAACACAGTCTTCCTCAGATAAGCTTTTGAAAAGAGCTGCTTTATAGAAAATCTCAAGTTTTTCTGTCTGATGGATCCCACAACTGCCAGCATCCCATTAGCTAATGGAGGGAAATCCATGGGTTTGGCTGTTAGCAGGTGGAAGGGGAAAAGGTGGATCCAAATTCTTCTTATTTGAATGGATGGTGTTTTGGTCAGGTTCTTCGGTAATAAAGAACAGAGGTTTACATGTCTGTGGCTGAAATAAGATGATAAAGACTCATATGAAATGATTAAAGGGGTGGGCTCTCAGAGGAATTCAAACATGAACTGTAACTGGGTTGCACTTCACAGGCACCGAATATGGAGGACATTTTGGATTCCAGATGGCTCCATAGACTGCTCTGGCAGAGTGTCTGTGATCTCCATTTAGCACTGTATCCCCAGCATCTAGAATAATGCTTAACATATAGTAGACCCCAGTAATTACCTGTTGAACAAATAAATAAAAGGAAATAGTAAATCTTCACCCTAGAGTTTTATCAAAATGGAGAAGTGAGTGGCTTCAAGTACGTGATTGATACAGCTGCTGTTTGCCGGCTATGCTCTTAGTCGTTTACACATACTATTATTGGAATATGTTCAGTCCTGTGAAGGGGTGATGGTACCCTCATTTTACTGGTGATAGAATTTGAATTCACAGATTATGACTTGCCCAAGTTCATGCAGAATACTAATTTGGAGAGTTCAGGTCTGCTTGACTCTAAACCTTGTTCTGGTAACTGATGCCGTATATATTGAAAGTACAAACAGGGTGGTAAACAGAAGTAAACCCACATTACCAGATATTAAGAAAGCATCTTAACAGCTGTTTTGAGGGATTTCATCAGAAATACTGTAATATCAGCCTGGTCTGAAATATCAGAAATCATTTTTCTCTGGCTTTACTTTCCAGTGCTAGGGAACTTCCACCAAACAAGGTAAGCAAAATCTTATATTACCAAGTTACTAGTCAGCTTTTAAAGTAAAGATTGGCCACTGGCTTTCCATTTCTCCAACTAAAAAGAAATTGTAGGGACTGTTTTACAGGGCATGGAGCAGATGACTAATTGTCTTATAGGATCGTTTTAGTTTTGAAATAACTATAATCTAGGATAAGTAACTCATTAGATTGATTAAAGTGTATGTGTAAGTGTCATATGGTTGAGGACTTTGTCATCCTTGTTTGAAACCATCTAGGGGCTCTGCATGGTGGTTCATGTCTGTAGTCCCAGCATTTTGAATCCAAGCACTAGGATTACTTGAGCCCAGGAGTTTGAGACTAGCCTGGACAACATGGTGAAACTCCATCTCTACAAAAAATAGAAAAATTTGCCAGGCATGGTGGTGTGCACCTGTAGTCCCAGCTACTCAGGAAGCTGAGGTGCGAGGATCACCTAAGCTTAGGGAGGTCGAGGCTACAGTGAGCAGTGATCATGCCACTGCACTTGAGCCTGGGCAACAGAGGGAGACCCTATCTTAAAAAAAAAAAAAAAAGGTAGGATTAAGGTTTTGTTTTGCTGGTTTATGCTTCTCTGCCAAATTATGGTTAAATGCATTATGTCTCAATGAGATAATATTGACATTGACCTTATAAAACTGACATTTTTTTTATAGGTATCAGTATTATCTGCAACTGAAGAAAGATATCTTGGAAGGAAGTATTCCTTGTACCTTAGAACAAGCAATTCAGCTAGCAGGCTTAGCTGTTCAAGGTAAATAAGATCAATTCATAATGAAATAGTTCTATCAGATTAAAATGTGTTGCAACAAAATAGCAAGGGATTTTTAAGTTAACTGACTGTCTATATACATCTTTAGTAGTATTTATATATTAGCGAAGTATTCTGTTATCTAAGGGGCTTCCTTTTGGGAAAAAATGAACTTGGAATACCTCAATGAAATATGAGACTTCTGGACGTTAATCATGTTATATGTCAACAGAGCAAACAGTACAATAAATAGAAGTATACACACACATATATTCAATCACATGCCAAATGACGTTTCGGTCAACAAAAGACCTCATATAGGACAGTGGTCCCATAAAATTATAACACTGTATTTTTAGTGTACCTTTTCTGTGTTTAGATACACAAATATCATTGTGTTACAATTGCCTACAGTATTCAGTACAGTAACATGCGGTATAGGCTTCTATGAGCAATAGTCTATACAGTATAGCCTAGGTGTGTAGTAGGCTACACCACCTAGGTTTGTGTAAGTATACTCTGATGTTTACACATCTCCTAATGATGCCTTTCTCAACGTATTCCCATCATTAAGTGACATATGACTATATACATATACATTTATTAGTACTATGCTATGTATTCATCTAGTTCAAAGACTTTATCTGCTAATAGGTCATATTTTAAGAAGAAAGATATGCCAGTCAGTGAGTTTGAGGTTATATTCACTTATAGTTTAAGTACGCTTCATTTGTGTGGTTTCTTCTTATTTACTTATTTCAATAGGTTTTTGGGGAACAGGTGGTATTTGGTTACATGAATAAGATCTTATTTATTTAGTTACTTTTTTTTTTGAGATGGAGTCTCGCTCTATGGACCAGGCTGGAGTGCAGTGGCACGATCTCGGCTCACTGCAACCTCCGCCTCCTGGGTTCAAGCAATTCTCCTGCCTCAGCTTCCTGAGTACGTGGGATTGCAGATACCTGCCACCCCACACACCCAACTAATTTTTGTATTTTTAGTAGAGATGGAGTTTCAACATGTTGGCCAGGCTGGTCTCAAACTCCTGACCTCAGGTGATCCACCTGCCTCAGCCTTCCAAAGTGCTGGGATTACAGGTGTGAGCCACTGTGCCTGGCCATGGTTACATGAATTAATTCTTTAGTGGTGATTTCTGAAATTTGGGTGTACCCATCACCTGAACAGTGTACCCTGTACCCCATGTATAGTCTTTTATCCCTCACCGCACTCCCACTTGTTTGGTTTCTTAAATGGTTGTCCTGGATTATGCAGTAATATCATCATTCATAATAGATAAAGATGGCTGGGTGTGGTGTCTCATGCCTCTAATCCCAGCACTTTGGGAGGCCAACGTGGGAAGATTGCTTGAGTCCAGGAGTTCGAGACCAGCCTGGGCAACATAGCAAGACCTTATCTTTAAAATGTACATATATAAATAAAGATTCTGCATTTCACCAGCATTTTTGAATTGTTTATTTTTTTGATTTTTACATATCTAATATACATGTATTTACATGTATGTGTGTATTTTCTTTTTTCTGGAGACAGTCTTACTCTGTTGCCCAGGCTTGAGTGCAGTGATGTGATCGTGGCGCACTGCAGCCAGAACCTACTGGGCTCAAGTGAACCTCCCACCTGAGCCTCCCAAGTAGCTGTGACTACAGGTGTGCACTACCATGCCTGGCTAATTTTTAAACTTTTCTGTAGGGATAGGGTCTTGCTATCTCTTGGGCTCAAGCTATCCTCCCTCCTTGGCTTACTGAAGTGCTGGGATTATAGGTGTGAGCCACTGTGCCTGGCCGGGAAGGTTTCTGACAGGGCATCATTTCAAACAATTACTGGCATTTTGTCTTGGGAGTGAAATTTCATCAGAATAATTATTAATAAAACTCCTTCAGCTATTAGCAGGCATGGAGACATGCATCATTTTTAAACAAATACCTGATGCACATAGAGCCACATTCCTTTTCAAGGTACTTTGGATTTTCTTAAGTATCCTTTTTGGCTTTAAGAATTACTTTTTCATAAACATTTTGCTGAATTGTCAATTTTTTAAAAAAATTAAAAATTTCAAAACAAATATATCTTGCTGTAATATATTCAAGTGGTCTAAGTCCATTTCATCACTACTGTTGACAATTTGGTTTCTCCTTGACATTTTTCTGTACATAAGCAAGCATATATGATTACAGGGTAGGTTTTGTTTGCATTTTAACTATAAAAATGAGATCATATTACATATAGCTTGCAACTTGTTTTTTATTTAATTCATAGGCATTTTTCCAAGCCAAGACTCATGTCTACCTAATTAACATTTTTAAAAAGATACTTTTAAAATACACTTTTCATAGTTATAAAAAACTTGACTTCTGAAATATTAGCATACCATCTATATATACTGCATGTTGAATTTTGTTGCACATATTTTGCAATGAAATTTAAATATAATTAACATGTGAGTTTTTGTCATTCTATATAGCTGATTTTGGTGACTTTGATCAGTATGAATCCCAGGACTTTCTTCAGAAATTTGCCTTGTTTCCTGTGGTAAGACTTCTTTTGACACTGGGCTTTTTAAAACAAACAGTTCATTCCTATACCCTTAATAATCCCTGAAATGAAATCCGTATGCTAGACTTACTGTCAGGAATAGGATTATAAAAAAAAATTCCCTCTTACAAACATCTCAAGTGTGACTACTTTCTCCGTTGTAGTCATCTTGGTCCTTGTGAACCCACAGAAACTGAAGGGTCTATAGTGACTGCACTGTGCCCGGAGATATTTGTTTTCTATTTGAATGTGAGTTTAAAAAGAAGGATTCATTTTCAGCTTCTCAGGAAGGCGCAGGTTTTGCTTTTAACTGAAGGTTTGAAACCTTACAAAATTATATTGAGGAATGAATGTCACTTCTCATCAGCAATTTAAAAAGTAGATGACAAAGACACTGCCTTCTACTTTTATAAAGTCATTACTGATGGAAGGGACATGGAAACTGCATTGCAACAACTATGGAGTGTGTGTCTTTGTCTTCTGCTTGTGTGCAGTGGCAGGCTGTGGGCTCACTGGATGTTTTTCTTTTTGTGTTCTCGGGATTGTCTTGCTTCTGTTTCCTGCTTGCGTTGGCTTGGCTGTACCTTTCCCCGGGCTGACTTGAGTAGTTTTTGTATTTTTTTTTTTGTTTGTTTTTGTTTTTTTTGTCCTGTGTGGTCTCCACTTCCTTCCTTCGGGTGGTGCTTCTGTCTGTGCGTTCCGCTGTGCTGTGTTTACAGTTGTGATCCTTTTTGCCTGTCGTTGGTTGCGTGATTTACTTTTTTTGTGGTTGTTTCTTTCTTTTGGGTTTGGGTGTCTTTTGACCTGTTTACCCTTTTGTGTTTTTTTCGTGTTTTGTTCCTCGCTGCACTCGTATTTGTTTGGTTTCTTCAATGGTTGTCCTTGCTTCTTCAGTAATATCGTTATTTCTAATAGATAAGGCTTGGTGGTTGTGTTGTCTCATTGTTTTCTTGCCTTTGCTTTGTTCGGTTAACTTTTTAATTTTTCTTGTTTCTATGTGTTTGCGCCCCTCTTTTTGGACCTTTCCTGCCGTTGTTTTTACAATTTGCCTATATTTATATAGTTTTTGCTTTTTGCCATGTTTTTTTCTTTGTTTGTTTTTTTGCTTTTTACTTATTTATTGTCCTTTTTTTTCCGTGTGTGTGTTTATTTTGTTTTTTGTGGCGAGTGTTTTACTGTTTTGCCTTTTTTTTTGTGTATTGTTGTGGTTTTTTTGCTCTGCTGCTCGTGTGTAGTTTGCTGTAGTGTTCGTCTGATTTGTTTTTTTTTATTAGCTGTGAGTACAGGTGTTCGCAAGTCCAGGGTTACTTCCCTCTGTATACCTATGGAAGCTGTGTCTGTCATCTGGGGAACTACGCTAAGAACTATGGTGCTTAGTACTCTGAACTATGCTTCTGCATACCTTTGTATACTTGTACATATTGACATTCTTTCATGGTGAATCTCTGTGTTGCCTGTAAGAAAAAATACTCTTCTAGAGAATGCTAGGTTTCATTCTAAACCAACTACCACACAGTTCCACATACAGATGTTCCTTGACTTAGGATGGGGTTAAGTCCTGACAAGCCCATAGTAAGTTGAAAATACTGTAAGTCAAGATGTATTTAATAGACCAATCCTGCTGAACATCATAGCTTAGCCTAGCCTACTCTACCTGTTCTCAGAACACTTACATCAGCATACGGTTGGGCAAAATCATCTAACACAAAGCCTGTAATATATTTTATAATGTTGAATATCTCATATAATTTGTTGAATACAGTACTGAAAGTGAAAAACAGAATAGTTGTACGGGTCCTCGAAGTACAGTTCCTACTGAATTTGTATCACCTTTGTACCATTGTAAAGTTGAAAAGTCATTCAGTTGAACCATCATAAGTTGAGGACTATCTGTACTCTATCATTAAATTCTTATAACTACTCATTAAGATGAACATTATTATCTCCATCTTACAGATGGGGAAACCAAACTCAAAAAGATTTAGTTATCTCTGGCCGGGAGCGGTGGCTCATGCCTATAATCCCAGCACTTTGGGAGGCTGAGGGGGGCAGATCACGAAGTCAGGAGATCGAGACCATCCTGGCAAACATGATGAAACCCTGTCTCCACTAAAATACAAAAAATTAGCCAGATGTTGTGGCATACACCGGTAGTCTCAGCTACTCAGAAGGCTGAGGCAGGAGATTTGCTTGAACCCGGGAGGCAGAGATTGCAGTGAACTGAGATTGTGCCACTGCACTCCAGCCTGGTGACAGAGCAAAAAAAAAAAAACAAAAAAAAAAGATTTAGTTACCTCTACATGTGGTAAAGGTGGGAATTGAAAGCAGGTCAGTTTCGTTAGAACCTATTGCTTATCACCTTCCAAATAAAATAACCTTTTGCCTCTAGTCTCTCTCTACTCAAATCCACACAGTGGCTCACAAAAGATTAATCTCCCTAGCATATCACTTTCCTCTTACCCCTCTCCTTCTCCTTCCACGTGCTTGTGGGTATTTTCATGCTTCCTGCTAGCCTGAGTTCATTACTCTGGGATTAAAGGCCTCCCATAAATTGGTTAAATCCTGCCTTCCCAGCTTTACCTTCTGCTGTCCACATGAACCATTTCTTTTCTAGCTTAATTGATCCCTCAGGCACACATTGCCCTGCCTTTTGTCACTTCCATTTATTCATTTGTGCATTTCCTTAAAAGATAGCTTAGTGTTCTTACTCTGTATTAGGCAGAGCAAGAGTGCTGGATGCTATGGCACAAAGATAAATAGAATAATTTCTTGTCTTCTAAGCGTGCATTCCCAGCCCTGCAATATGAGGGCTGGCAGGACAACCCACTATAGTAATGATAATACATATAAGAAGATAATGAGTGCAGTTAGAGGGGTACGGGTGGAATGTATTGGGACTGCATAGAATTGGGGCATTGGGGAATCCCAGAAGGTGACCCAGAGGAAATGATACATAGACAGAGTCTTGAAGGATATTAGGGATTGGCCAGATCCACAAGTGAGTCACAGGCATACCAAGAAGAGGGATTCTCATGTGCAGAAGCCCAGAGGGGCTAGGGAACATACTCTATCTGAAGAGATGCAGAGTTTGGGATGGCTGCAGTGTGGGTGCCTTGAGCACAGAGGGGAGCATCGGAAGATGAGGCTGGAGATGCAAGTCTGCATGCACTTGGGCACTCCTGTACCCACACTGCCTTCCTACCCATCCTAGTGGTGCTGCACTCCACTCACCTGAGCGAAAAGGGGTTTTCATGTAGCCTTCTCATACCCTTATTCCCTGCATTCGACATTTAGCACATAATTCTCAGTAATGCCTGATATTTTGTTGTTTTTGTTTTTGTTTTTTTGTGTGTGTTTTTTTTTTTTGTTGCCCAGACTGGTGTGCAGTGGAGCAATCATAGCTCACTGCATCCTTGAACTCCTGGGTTCAAGCAGTCTTCCTGCCTCAACCTTCCAAGCAGCTGGGACTATAGATGTGCACCCCCATGCCGGGCTAATTTAAACTTTTTTTTTTTTTGTAGTGACAAGGTCTCACTATGTTGCCCAGGCTGGTCTCAAACTGCTGGCCTCAGGTGGTCCTTTCTCCTTGGCTTCCCAAGGTGCTGGGGTTACAGGCATGAGTCACCGTGCCCAGCCCTGATATTTGGGATAATAAGCAATTACTTGGTGATTTAAGAAAAGTTCAAGATTTCACCTGAAGATTTTTTTAGGAAGTTTTTTTATCCCCTACCTTCCCAGTCATCTGCCTTAAGTATAGAGAGCAGGATCTCATGTGATACTCTCAGCATTCAGTACAGTGCTTTACACATACTGGTTTTCAGTAAATATCAACAGATTGATATAACCAATTATAGATGCTTAGAAACTTGAAATGTTTATAATGTCCTATGCTAAATTGATACATAGGTTTTAAGAAAAGCTTTATTTTAAACCATTTTAAGCTTGCTTTGTGAACAATCTTGCTTCTTTTGGGTTGCAGAGGGCTCGTAGCTCCTGATGCTGAAATGCTGTACATGCAGGAGGTAGAGAGAATGGATGGCTATGGAGAAGAGAGCTACCCTGCTAAGGTAAGTGTGGCTGGGTGGCTGGGGTTCTTTAAAGTTAGGCTCACAAATTTGAGAAAATCGTGGGGAAATCCAAAGATGTCCTTATGTGCAAAGGCTGAGGACATGCAAAACTCTGGAAACTTAAAAGCCGAGGTCCTGGTGACCAAAATTTTGTGGTAAAACGCATTCCCATTTTGCGGTTCATACTTTGAAATGGTCTTGAAATAGAGTTCCTAAGGAGGGCCAAACTTTTTCCATTTTTATACATATCTATAAGATCATAGATGTCATTCAGACTTTTGTCTTCCTGCGTAGTTCCTCTGTAGGTCTTCTGAACTTCCTGCATCTGGGAAGCCAGTCCGGGGAACTCTGTGGCAGCAGTTCCTCTGCATCTGCTTCCTGGGTGTTTCTTCTTTTGCTTTCTCCTTTTAGGATAGCCAAGGAAGTGACATATCCATTGGAGCGTGTCTTGAAGGTATCTTTGTGAAACACAAGAGTGGAAGGCATCCTGTGGTATTTAGGTATTTTTCTTACCTCTTTTTGTATGTTTTCTGTGACTCCTGTTGGTGATACATTTTTTTAGTACTTACAGCAGTTAAATTGTTCACAAGTCTATACCAAGGTCTCATTAAAAAATGGAAATAATTCCCTTCCTAGAAAAAAAAATACCATCGGAATGCAACAGTCCTTTTCAGTAAGCCACTTTCTTCAAAACGAAATTTCCAGAATATAATGACGGCCTATTATAAAATGCTTAAAAATGTGTGGCCCTTTTTGTGCCATATGGAGGCCATTCTTTGTTTTGATATGAAGTTTTAATTTGAGCTGTGGTTTCCAGGACTATTTATTGGTTAATTTATTTACTGTGAGACAAGGTCTCACTCTGTTGCCTAGGCTAGAGTGCAGTGGTATAGTCACCACTCACTGCAGCCTTGACCTCCCAGGCTGAAGTGATCCTCCCATCCCAGCTTCCTGAGTAGCTAGGACTACAGGCGAATGCCACCATGCCTGGCTAATTTTTGTATTTTTTGTAGAGACAGTTTCACCATGTTGCCCAGGCTAGTCTCAAACTCTTGGGCTCAGGCTATCTGCCTGCCTCCCAGAGTGCTGGGATTCCAGGGGTGAGCCCACTGTGCCCGGCCTGTAGGGCTTTTTCTTACGAAAAATATAGATCTTTGTTTTGACTCTAGTTTTGTACCAAAATTCCTAAAATACCAGTATCTAAGCAAATTTCAATAATTTTTTATAATGTTGGTTTTTTTGCTGATATAAAAAAAGATACTATTCATTTGTGGAAATCTTGGAATGTGAAGAAAGATGGAAAGGATATATAGCAATGTGCTAATAGTAACTGACTCCGAACAATGAAACTACAGGTGATTTTAATTTCCTTTATAGTATTCTGTGTTCTAATTTGTATCTTAAAGATAGTAAGTTGGTCCATATTGTACAATCCCTGCCTTTAATTCCTTAAAATCTGTAATCTGGAAAATCCAAAGTTCATTTCATAGAAATACTTGCAGTTTTACTCTGAGATTCTATTTACCCAGTTGGGTAAATTGGGTACAGAGTAGTGAAAATTAAAAGTTTATATTGTTTTTAAATTTATATTTATTATTTATTTTATTTTATAGAGATGAGGTCTCGCTGTGTTGCCCAGGCTGGTCTCTAACTCCTGGTCTCAAGCGATTCTCCCTCTTTGGCCTCCAAAGGTGATGGGATTACAGGCGTGAGCCATGGTGTCCAACCAAAAGCTTATATTGTTTTTATAAGGCAGGAAAACATATTCTATCACTTTTGTTTTTTGGTTCCTTCGTGTCTACCATTTGTTGAGTGCTTATCATGAGTCAGATAAACTATGCTGAGTATTTTATGTGAATTTTTTTAGTGTAATCTTCATAACACTGTCAGCAGTAGGTATCACTACCTCTTTGCACATGTGATGATTGAGGCTTAGAAAAGTTGTGATTTGTCCATGGTCCCTCAGTTATTAACTGGCATAACTAGGACTATAACTTGGGTCCTCCACTTTATGCATGGGCTCTTAATTACTGTATTAAACAGCTTTTATCCTCTCCACCCCCTACTCACTGCCAGCATCGCAACACACATTACTCAAGCTTTCTAAACCACTCCTACCATTTCTTCTTGAGAACTAGTTTTGCCTTTGAAGAGCTTTTTCTCTAAACTGACATCTCCTCTCTCACTTCCTTTGCTTTACTGCCTCTTGAGCCATGAATTCTCCATGGTGATTATGACCTCAGAGAGTACCCATCACTTGGGGAGCAGAACCCCACTTCTAGAATGCATTGTCCTGGGCTGGGTGGCTCCCCTTTGGCAGTTGCTCGCTTGTCCCCAAGCCACTTATATTAACCCTTCCCAACATGCTGAGTTGGGGGTCAGGGAGAGGAGAGGAAAATGGATCCGTGGCTTCACCTGAAGGGCAGGGCTCTGATGGTGCCCAAAGTGTCACATGGAAACTTGAAGCATCTGCCTGGCTTCCTTTATCACTGGATGGGAATTTTCACAGTTGCCTTAATGTGATACTAATAATCTTTAGATTTAACAAACACTGAATCACAACTAAGTTGATTTTATTTTAATACATTTAAAATAAATCTAATGGAGAAGGATAAAATTTTTTCTTCCATAATTTTTTCTTTTTATGACATTCTATGATTATGTAATAAAATAAAATATTAACATATAAAAGCTAATATGATAAAATTAGAAAGTATGAGATTTTGAATCGTAGTGATCACTTCCAGAATAGTTCACTCTTTGAGGTTCCTGGCATTTCCAATTTATCTTCACCCTTAAGCTTTTCACAGCACACCTCCCCAACTTTTGGGCCTTATTTTAATACCTGCAGCACTTAAAGGTTCTTGTTGGCTTCTGTGTTCTTTCTCCCACCTTTTCCCTCCACCTGTGGCTCTTTTGAGGGAAGCACTGTACTTCACTAATCTTAGTGTCCCTAGGACCGACTGCATTTCTGGCATTGTTATAATAGGTGTCTTTTATTTTTGTTGAATGAGTAAATGAGGCATTGGCAATCAGCTAAGACAGGGATCGTCCATCAAGCACATCTGACACATGAGAATGATACATTTTACATCTTTTAAATTCTCTTTTCCCTCATTTAGTATACATGAGTTTACTTTTTACAACTAGCTGCTGTCACCTCAATTAGAACATTCATGCTAGCTGATTAGAACACTGGTGTTTTTTGTTCTCGCTCTTTTTTGAGACGGAGTCTCGCTCTGTTGCCCAGGCTGGCATGCAATGGTGCAATCTTGGCTCACTGCAACCTCTGCCTCCTGGGTTCAGACGATTCTTCTGCCTCAGCCTCCTGAGTAGCTGGGATTACAGGTGCCTGCCACCTCACCTGGCCTAGTTTTTGTAATTTTTTTTTTTTTAAGACGGAGTTTTGTTTTTGTTGCCTAGGCTGGAGTGCAATGGTGCTGTCTCAGCTCACTGCAACCTCCACCTCCCGGGTTCAGACGAATGATTCTTCTGCCTCAGCCTCCTGAGTAGCTGGGATTACAGGTGCTTGCCACCTCGCCTGGCCTAGTTTTTGTAATTTTTTTTTTTTTAAGATGGAGTTTCGTTTCTGTTGCCTAGGCTGGAGTGCAATGGTACTGTCTCAGCTCACTGCAACCTCCGCCTCCTGGGTTCAAGCAATTCTCCTGCCTCAGCCTCCCAAGTAGCCGGGATTGCAGGTGCCCACCACCACACCCAGCTAACTTTTTTATATTCTTAGTAGAGACAGAGTTTCGCCATGTTGGCCAGAAGTCTGAAACTCCTGACCTCAGGTGATCCGCCTGCCTCGGCTTCCCAAAATGCTGGGATTGCAGGTGTGAGCCACCATGCCTGGCCTAGTTTTTGTATTTTTAATAGAGACAGGGTTTCACCATGTTGGCCAGGCTGGTCTCGTGTTTTTTGTTTTTTGTTTTTCTCAAAAATGTCACCAAATACTAACTTATACGTCAGGTTTAGGGAAAACTTGTATATTCTATCTCCTTTTTTCGTCCACAAGCACTCACATTGCCATTCTCTATTTGCTGTTCTTTAGGTGGCATGACATTGCCAACATGTCGCACAACAAGTCCTTTTTTGCATTAGAACTGGCAAATAAAGAGGAGACCATCCAATTTCAAACTGTGAGTAAACATTAGGGGTCTGCATGGAATGTTTTTCCTAAAAGTTAACAAGTTCTACTTCTGCATGCTTGTATGTATTTGGAGGCAGGGCAGCATTAAAATTATAATATTTTGTAATTGTATAAAACATGCAGTTTTATCATATAGCATTTTGCAAAATGGCAGTTGGCAAAAAATGGCTGCTCAGTAAATGCTGAATGAATGAGTCTTTGGATAACTACTGTCTGATCATGATAACCTTTAAATTAAACCTCAGGGGTTAAGTGGGGGAGAAAGTAAGCACTGATATCTTAAATTTCATGGATAAATGAATAGCTCTGAAGAAATGTTATTTAATAGTTATTTGCTTTTGCTCTCTTGACAAAGGCAATATTGAGTTACTGAGTCATATTTTTGTTTAAAAATGTCTGAGTATATTTGGCAAGAATAGAAGTTGATATTTTTATAGTTTTTAGATTCCCATGTCATTTTGAAACTGTTTAATATGAGAATCACACTGTTAGAACAGATTGTTTTGTCTTCATAAGTTAAATCCTACTTGTGGTATTCATACCATGGGCACAGTGTTGGAAAATGAAAGGCTTATAGTGTCCTGAAAGTGACTTTGTCATATGATGTCACCCATTATGTATTTAGACAAACTGTGCATTAAACGTATCAAGTTGTGTGTGTGCTTTCATATTGCTTTATGCCTATTTTGTTTGCTAGGAAGACATGGAAACTGCAAAATACATTTGGAGACTCTGTGTTGCGCGACACAAGTTTTACAGACTAAACCAGTGTAACCTGTAAGTATGTCCTGCTCATGGAAATTATCAAAAATAATGAATTTAGAAATTGTAATCTTGAGTATACTGTATCATCAAGAAAGACATTTTATCAATTGATATCTTTTTTTGATCCTGTAGCTATTTTCCTGATTTTAGCTTTGGACCGACTTCTAATAACTACACTGTATGCCTTTAAGATTTATTTCAACTAGTTACGAGAACTGTTCTAATTCTTGAAAGGTAAAAAGGGAATAATATCCTTTATTTGTTTAAATCAGTCCTCTGATCAGCATTTTGAATCATTAAAGATTATTCAGCTTTTCCAGCCACCTGAAGAATTTGTGCCCCTCCTTCCTGGTGTGCATTTTTCTTAGCCTACATGGGTTTTTCACTGTCTGCCGGATCAATAAAGCACACGGTGATATTGCACATGTAAAATATTGTCCTTCATCTCTATTCCCCTCCAGCCTCTGCACCGTATCTGTGCTTTCCTTAATAGCAGGTTTCCTCAAGAGAGTTGTGTATGCTTGTTTATTTCCTTCCTTCCATCCTGTTTCCCCTAAGCTTCCACATTACTGACACTGCTTGTTGTGGTCAGGTGACTTTCGTCCAGTGATCATTTTACGAGTTCTTTAACTTGACCGCTCTGCAGTACTGATCCTCCAACAGCTCATTCCATCCTTCCTGAATCCTGCTCTTCTTTGGCTGCCAGGACACCACCCGCTGCTAGGCTTCCGCTTTCTAGACTGTTTCTTCTCAGTTGTTCGCTGGTTTGGTCCTGAGGCCTTTTCTCCAAATCCGCTCCTCTAGGGGGCTTCTCCTGGCCTGTCCTCCCACTGAGCTCCCGGTTCAAGCGATTCTCCTGCCTCAGCCTCCCGAGTAGCTGGGATTACAGGCATGTGCCACCACACACTGCTAATTTTGTATTTTCAGTAGAGACAGGGTTTCTCCATGTTGGCCAGGCTGGTCTTGAACTCCCGACCTCAGGTGATCTGCCTGCCTCGGCCTCCCAAAGTGCTGGGATTACAGATGTGAGCCGCCGTGCCTGGCCCTCCCTGAGCTCTCGACTCCTGCATCCTACCGCAAGCGTTTAGTTTGCTTAGTCCTCAATACCACTCTGAAAGTTGTGGTGAATATATACTACTGCCTGTGTATTCTGAAGGTACAACTGGCAGAACTTGCTGATGAATTGGATGTGGTATGAAACCTGACCATTTTTACCACTCGTGCTAGCAGCTTGGTGCTAGCTGCCACTGCTTCTCATCAGAATATTATGGTAGCCTTCTGACTTTCCTGTTTCTGTGCCTTCGCTGCCTGTAGCTTATTTTCCATATGTCAACCAGAATGATCTCAGTTTAACCTGAATCAGATCCTGTCACTGTTTTTTGTTTTTTTGTTTTTGTTTTTGTTTTTGGAGATAGAGTCTTGCTCTGTTGCCCAGGCTGGAGTGCAATGGCATGATCTTGGCTGACTGCAACCTCCGCCTCCCGGGTTCAAGTGATTCTCCTGCCTCAGCCTCCTGAGTAGCTGGGACTACAGGTGCACGCCACCACGCCCAGCTAATTTTTTGTATTTTTAGTAGAGATGGGGTTTCACCATGTTGGCCAGGATGGTCTCAATCTCCTGACCTCGTGATCTACCCACCTTGGCCTCCCAAAGTGCCGGGATTACAGGCATGAGCCACAGCACCCAGCCCAGATCCTGTCACTCTTCTTAACCCTCCTTTGGCATTCCACTTCTTTTTTTAAGTAATTTTTTTAGTTTGTGTTTGAGACAGCTCTGTCACTCAGGCTGAGCACAGTGACATGATCATGGCTCACAGCAGCCTCTCAACCTTCTTGGGCTCAGGTGATCCTCCCACCTCAGCCTCCTGAGTAGATGGTTGTGTACCACCACACCTGGTTAATTTTTCGATATTTTTTTATAGAGGCGGGATCTCCTTATGTTGTCCAGACTGGTCTCAAACTTCTGGACTTGAGGGATCCTCCTGCCCCGGCCTCCCAAAGTGCTAGACAGGTGAGCAACCATGCCTGGCCCCATTTTACTTCTAATAAAAGTACGAAACCATACACAGTGTGGTGCTTGCCTGGTTCCAACCTTGTGTTTTTTATCCTCCTCCTTGCTTGCTGTGTTCCAGCCACAGTGGTATCCTGGCTAGGCTACAGATGTGCCTCACCCTAGGGGACACTGTCCTTGCTGTTTTCCCAGGTCTCCACCTGCCTTGCTCCCTCATTGCAGCCTGCTATTTGCTGTCTGGTCAGACATGACCCTCTTCAGAGGCTGTCCCTGATTGTCCTATGGTACTCCCCTTCCACTACGATCTGTCTCTTTGCCTTCTAACTTTGTTTTGTTCTTTATAGCACTTAGCACCATGTGAATTTCTATATTTGTTTGTTTGCTTGTTTGCCTATATCCCCTGCCAGCAGGTAAGCTCTACAGCAGTGCATGAGGACAGACATTCTTCCCTGCCTTCAGTGCTATATTCCCTGTGCCAAGCAAGGGCCTGGCTCACTATTGGCCTTAATTAATTTGTTCAACTAATCTGTAGATACAAGTGTTAAGAGCTGTGATTCGAGATGTCTTGGTGCTGGTGCTGTAAGATCCCTTAGGAAAACGGTACCTCACCCAGAACTGCCAAGATAGGAAAGGCTACCCAGCCAAGTGACATGTAAGCTGAGACCTGAAATGTTTCGTTCAATTCCCACAACCTTTCTTTAAGCTGTCCTCTTGTCCTTGTACCATTTCTGGAGGCGCCTCCTGGAGCTGCCTCCCACTTGGCCCCCCATGCCCTATCTCACCTGTATGCAGTCAGTCTTCTGGATAGATAAGCAAAATATGTAGCACTGCTGTTGAAGTTACATGTCAGGAACAAATCTGAGTATGTGCCTCTCACCCGCCCCGTCCTGGGTACAGGATTAAGGGCAGACTCCTCAGGTCCTTCTCTGGACTTAGCTGCCCAAGCCCAGTGGCCTTGGAGTCTGACTCCAGGAAGAAGTCTTTCCTTATCATGTGAATGCTCCCAGCCCAGGCCTTTGCTAAAATGTCCTTCCTTCCCTTCTCTGGCAGACTCTTAGTCATTCTTCAAGACCGAGTTTAAAATACGGCCCCTGTAGACACCACCAAGCATACAGTTTGTTTAGTCCTCAATACCACTCTGAAAGTTCTGTTTTTTTCTATGTCTTTTGTAACAATGATCTGAATAATTCGTAACAATAATTCAGTAAATGCTTGCGCTATGTCAAGCATTATACTGAGAGCTTTTATTTTCTTTAATCCTTAGAGTAACCCTGTTGGGCACAATTATTACTATCCCATTGTTGATGAAGGTATGGAGACTTAGAGAAGTGAAATGTCGTGCCCTGCCACACAGCTAGTAAGTGGAGCAGCAAGACTCCAGCCTGCGCTCTTAGCCGCTGTGCCAGCCTCTTAGAGTAGTTCCTGCTTGCTCTTTTCATGTGGATTGGATCTGTCTCTCTTGTTTGATGGAGCTCCATGAGGGCAGGGTCTCCTCTTCCTCATCTTCGTGTCCCCTATCTGGCAAGGTGCCCTGTGTGTAAGGGCTTAGTGAACGATGGGAGCTAGAGTGTGGCAATGATGGGAGTCACAGGGGAGAAGAGCCCTTTTGCTCCTTTGTCTCTTCCTTTTATTACAGATTGTAAATGAGGCATGGGGTGGAGGGAAAGTCTAACAAGGGCATTTTGCCCCTTAGCACCAAGAAGGAAGGAGAAAGGCTATGGAAGTGCCTTCTGTCTTGCAGGGTGTGAGAGAAACTCGGGGCAGGAGCAACAGTGTAAAGATAACATGCAGAGATGCCCACCCGGACAGGGAGCTGCCCAGTGGTTTGCACGTATGGCCCAGTCCCTGTCTCTTCTCTGCCTTCCCCTGCACCATGTTTGCATCCGAGTCCCCACCGCTGTTCTGGTGATGGGATTTTCGTAAGCACTGACAGGGAGGAGGAACCTGCTTTCTTTGTAAATATGGGAACAGGTTTCCGCTAGCTGCCTGGGTGTATTTGCATATGAAAGTGTTCCCCCTGGTGGTGATGTTCAGCAGTGCTCCTTGCCGTTGCGGTTCCCGGGGGGCTGGCCTGGTTATCCAGCCATATGTGGCATGATTTCTATGCAGAAGTAAGTTCTAAGATTCAAGCAGTAGATAATGCAGTCTGTTGGACCACAGCATTTTCATTTTAAAGACTTTAATAAGTTAAGAGTGTTCATAATATTGAGCCATTATTACCTCAGTTCATTTCTTCTCTGGAAAATAGTGGAGAATCTACAATGTGAATAAACCATAAAACATAATCCCTTTCCATGAGGCATCCATATTGGCTGGTGATTTTTTTTTTTTGTTTTGTTTTTTTTGCAAATTAACAACTTGTAATAAGTAAAAGAGGGAAGTGGGAAAAGCAACAAATGATTGATTATGGTGAATGATTCAGTCTTAGGAATTCAGCTCTAGTTCTTGGAATATTGCTATTTATTGGCAAGTGTGAATAAAACTACATTAATGTCATCAGTTGCATATATTATACCTAAATAAGGAACACCTGATTCTTTTCAAAATGGAATAATTATGTTTAAAGGGCTGTTTTCCAAAGTTTGTTTTCAATCTCTATATATCCGATAGATTGTGGCAGTCGATTTCCATGAGCTATTCCTATGTAATTACTTATGATTCATTCTGTAGGGAACTAATATATTTCATTGTGAGCATTTGTTTCCCATGTAAAGTAAATGAAGCTTTTAATATTAGCTTTTAAAATTTTGCTTGATAATAAAATGAAAAGAACTTTAATTGTTACGACCATGTTTTAAAGGCTGTCAATATAGACTGTTTAGTCATGTTCCAATATTATGATTCTGAAGTATTGGTAGACTTGTTGTCATGGGCCACATAGGTAAACTAAAGCGTGATAGGCATTTAACAAAACTGCAGCTGGCCTGGAACTGGACAGTGGCTTCTGGACATCTGGTTTGGGCTGGGGTGACTGGTGGCCCAGGAGATAGACTCGACTTGCA